ATTATACATATATCTGTTATATATATATATATATATATATATATATATATTTTATATTTTAAAAAATTAATTTTAAAATTTTTTTTCTTTACTTTAAATTAATTTTTTACTAGTATGATTTTTTTCCCAAAACATGATGATGTTTTATAGAGGGCTATTCATTCTTGCTTCATGAACGATGCTTGCTCCGTATAGGAAGCACTATTAAAGATAATGGGAAAAGAAAGTAGAGGACAAGAGGAAAATTAGAAAATTCATTAGCTAATATTTAAAAACAATCAACAACATGAAATAATATACACTTGAATATTCATCTCATATGTAATAATAATAATAAATATTCATGTTTCCCTATTTTAGAGGATATGGACGTGATTACATTTTTAAAAAAGTTAGCTATAATGATTTTTTAAATATTCTAAACGTGTATGAGAATATAATTGTAATTGTTTTTTAAAATGTTTTTACTTAAAAATATATTAAAATAATTTTTTTTATTTAAAAAAAACAATACAAATTTTACTGAAAAATAAAAAACATAGCTATTAGTATTTGTCTCTTGTTTTGGTTGAAAGATTACGACTTGGTGTGCTCCCCTTGTCCTGATTGCAAAGTGCATATAAATATTGCATCACCAAATCCATATTGTACTAGTACTTCAGTTAAAATTGATAGTCTTTGGAGGTTAATAAAATTTCTCAAGAACTAGTGTTGTGTTCTTCAACACTTGATATTTCTAATTTGCTTGTGTCTAAAGAAAAAATTAAAATTAAATTGAACAAGTTTATAATTTATAAAATATTAAAAGTTTATATATAATTATGGACCAATCCTGACCCAATTATATCCATAAAATATATTTATTTTCTTAATGCATATTAAATTTGAATTCTTAATTATTGTCAAATTTTGAAAGAAATGTAATACATAATTCAATTTGTATATTAACATAAATTTTTTAAAAAAACTTGAAGTATGGTTGATCTAATTTGTTTTTTAAATGTTTTCCTGATTTTTTTCCTTTTACAGTTTTGTTTTTAAAAATTTAATATACACCTTATATCAAAGCTTCTAAAACGAGTTTTTAATTGATTTAAGTAAAAATAATTTGCAGTTAGGATATACTAAAACATTGTAATTCAAAGTTTTTAATTAATAATTTTTGTTCATATCTTCTCTTTTTTCGACATAGAATCAATTTTATAGTTTCTCTTTTTTACTTGCATATGTGGTAAGAAAAACCCAATTTATGTGTTAGTTTTCAAATCCATGGAAGAATATTATTTCTTAAAATCTAAATATATTAACACAAGCAATTCATGTCTTAATCATAAAATATACTAAGAATTACATCTGTTTGAATTACACTGCAAGGGTGAAACAATTTTGACTGTTCAATTATTATTATTATTATTATAGTTTTTTTTTTAATATTGTGCTGAAAAATATTCAAAATACATCTTAAATCAAAATTTATGATATAAGTTTACATAAAAATAATTTACAATAAACACATGCTAAGAAATTGCAATTCAAAGTTCTTTATTAGAAGTTTTTCTCATGTAGTTCATTTCAGCACCATTACCTGGAACTAAAAAGTTTGAACAACCCCCTAAATTTTGCATAATTATGTCAGGTTGATCACACATCTGTGCAAAATTTGGCATAAAATTTGCATGATCTAATCTACTTATCTTCCCTTTTCTCTCTAGGCCTACATTTGTTTCCAAAAGCTGCATGAACTATACACATCATACATCCATTGAGCAATATACTTCATCGAACTGGCCTCGCCAAAGCAAAATTGGCATCCGAATTAACTGACACCAACAGCTCTATCAAAATTACCTCATTCGGGAAGTGGATCTTGAGGCCAGGTTCAATAAATCCTGCTCATAAAATACCAGGATGTTAGCAGCAAATAACACCCCTCCAAAAAAAAACAGAAAAAGATAACGAATTCTTACCAGGGGATAAATTTCGTCCACCATAAAGCTCCTTTGCTAGGGGATTGGCTGCCCAATGATTCACACCGACCCCGCTTGTAGGTTGGAAACCGACAATTTTCCCATCAGTTGACAAAACCACCTAAAATTGAACCACAAAACAGCAGATCAATAATGTGGAATAGTTGTTCAAGCATGACAATGAAGAAAGAAGACATGAACCATGATGTTTTAACCCAATAACACAAAAGTAAAAATAATGTCAGTACGTAAAAGTTGTCATTACTTGCACACCATCACATGGCATACCCACCCACCCCCAAATCAAACTGTATTGAATTTAAAGCCACTCAATCATTTTATTGTAAGAATCAAGGGAGAGTGTGGTCTGATCCTGGAGCCTCAGGGGCCAACGATAATACGTTTCTTTTCATTTTATCGTAAGAATCAAGGGAGAGTGTGGTCTGATCCTTTTGATCCACTCAATCATTATCCACAAGAAACCATCAGTCAAGGTGTGAAATGATAAATGGGGATAAGACCAGCATACATTATGAACTCGGGTTCTAGAATGACAAATCCCAACCTGAAGACTATGCTTGTGCTTGTTTGAACGAAAGCATAACTTGTGCATTTGTTAATTTAAAAACCACATATTTGATTCAAGAAAGAAGGCAAAATTCATGAATACAAATTAGGCCAGAGAAGGCAAAAATTTATGCATTTCCCCGTCACTTTATCTTTTGCATTTCTTAAATATAAGGGAATAGAAGCAGAACATCGTAGCTGATTCACATGAGAAAGAACTACCCAGATACATCCGAAAATGGAAGACAAAGCAAAGAAGATAGAAAAAATTGGATTGCCTGATAACTAGCAATATCCTGTGCAGATGATTTCAGATCTGCATCAATCTTCTGTATGGGGGTAAAATCAGTTGAATTTTCTTCACTAGCAGCATCAGCTTCATCCATCGTTTTGAAGTAAGCTGGTATTTCACCAATCCAGGCACCAATCTTCTTATCTGTCACTATATCACCAGGCCAGCCAAAAGAATCCTTCATCTTTTTGCAAATCAAGATGCAAAATTCTTGTAACTATCCGGATGAAGTTTAAGTATTAGTTTATATAAAAAAATCGACAGGAAACAAAAAAAAGAACATAATGAAATTTAAGAATTATAAAAGACAAATAGCCACCCAAACAATAACCACTTCACCCAGCCAATATCAAGGCATCAGTAATAGGCACAAGCAGTGCCAAACTTTTGACAGGAAGAGTGAGTGTGCTCATACACTTGGCACACAGACATAAGAACATATGATGGGAGCACTAGACCGGCATAAGGTTTCCAACATATGCATACCTTTGCAGCATCCAGAGATTCATTTTCTGCAAACTGAATTTCTGATGATGGAAGAGAACTATTTTCTTGAGCATACGTTCGTCCTTTGCGGAGATGAGGAAGGCAAAACTGACTAAGAGCACTGATGCTGATGAGGAAAATTCCACTTACAAGTGTCACTGACAAGACATTCATCAAAGAAGAGCTCCTCTGGAAGAAAAAAGAATTGTTAGCCTGGTGCCTATGGATTAAAAATCTATTTAAGAATGGCTTCCACTATTATGCATTGTTAGAAAGCTGGAAATGGAGGTCATTCACTTTCATAGCTCCCCACAGTGTATTAAGTTGTGCACATGGATGAAGCAGGACAAAAGTGTTCTTGATAATGTGAAATATGCTTTCTGTTAGGTATGGATGATTCTCTCTTGTGAATCTATATTCTCCTGTGTCTGGTTTGCAAATAGAAAGCATAGGACTCGACCTTTGAAAAATATTTATTACTGTCAAAAAATGAATTAAAAAACGTTAAGACACAAACAGTCTACATTACACACCTTTTTTTTGGACAAATTGGTGAAATTTGAAACAACACCACATGATAACTCTTCGTTGGGCATTGTATATATATCTTCATAGTACATATCAAATATTTCAGCCAATCCAACCTACAAAATTATATAAACTAGTGTCAGAACAGAAATAACATAAATTCAATTCAACAAACAATACATGATAAGAAAGCACATCCACCCCTCAGCATCCTTCAAGCCCTCAAAATTCATATTGACAAGAACATGATGGGGAAAAGAACTTGGACAAAATGCAAATCACATGGACATCATATCATCCACTCTGAAGGCAATGACTCCTATTTTTTGAAATTTCATTAAGAGTGGATCTTCAGATAGGGTTCAACAACAACATAATGTGCTCCATCAACAGCCAGAAGCCAAAGACTAAAAGAAAGAACAAGGTACCATTAACAATCAAGGGCTCATGACAGAAGGAGAGAATAGAATACCATTTGGGAGTGGGTCAAAAGTACTTCCCACCTATTCCCTGAAGATTCTCTCCACCCTTCAAATTTTGCATCCTTCACTTTATCAGCATCAATCTGTAGCCTATAAGCAGGTACATGCTCGCTTGTCCAAGCACTGAACTCAGGACCACCAATTTTTTCCAACTTAGAGTGTGCTAAAGGAGTCCACCATTTATACTTGCGCTTCACTTTTATTCCCTGAAATCTATCCTTACTTGAATTAAAATTCTCAAGCAAACTCTTAGCATTCTCAACGATCTCATCTTCGAACAACTTATAAATGACAACCGAGGAATCTCTTGATACAATTCTTTGAGGCTTCCGGAGCCAGCTAAAAAAACCACCAGGACCCTTCCCCATAAAATCATCAAGGAAAAGCCTTTCAGTGTTTTGAAGAGCAGCAATGCAAACAGCTTCTGCGAGCAGAGATATAACTTGTTCATCTGATGAACCGAGAAAGAAGGAAGCAGGAACCTGCTGATATGAAATGAATAAGAGAACTGAACCCATCAGTATCAAGAGGCACCTGCACGACACACCCATTAATAACACATCACATAACAAAGTTACACAAATATCAAAAATACTCAAACCCTTAAACAAAATAAAAAGGAACAATAATTATATTTCCAACCTCTCTCGGGTTTTCAAGATCCTTCATGTTTCTTTCTGTTCCGGGTCTGAACAAAACGAGCTCAAAGTTCCATATCTGTTGCAAAACTACTTGTCTAAATGTCATTGAAAGAATGTTCTGAGACATGGTGCCTGACAGAACATCTTCCTTGAAAGACCTTTTCAGTCTGATTGCTTTCTCCTTAACTTTCTTTGCTGGCAAAAACTGTTATAAAGAATTCCATATCAGACTAGACATTATTTTATGCATGTATGTACAGCTTCAAGTTCCAATATTTTGTTACTGAAAAAATAAGTATCATCATCTCAATTCCGTAATTATAGTTTAAGACTTCATAATTTCACTTCAAATTCAGCAATTAAGTATAAACATAAACGCAGTGACTTCAAGATATTTTAGATTTTTTTTTAAAAAAACCCTGACCAAGCGAGTGGAGACGGTAGCGTGCTCATCGGCGGGGCCAGGGAAGACAGTCTCAACAACCATTGCAGGGACGCCGGAGTCAAGGTGTTCAGAGGCGGCACGGCCACCATCGGAGGCGGCGGCAGTAAGGGCTTGGTCGAAGCGGACGGAACCGACTAGGCTTAGCCGGGCCAAGTCGTTCTCGAAGGTTCTGACACAAGGGAGAGTATTGTCATTAGAGTCGGCTACGAATTGGAGTATTTGTTGTTCTTGTTGTGTGGGTTTTGGAGTACAATGGAGGACGTGGAGGGGAAATTTGGGAATGGTTAGGGATAGTTTGGGGAAGAAAAACGTAGGGATTTTTGTGGTTGGTGTGGACTTGGAGGAGAGGGAAGGAGGGAGCGGAGAGAGGAGAGGAAAGGAAAGGGGAGAGAGAGCTTGTGGAGGAGGATGCATTTTTTTGATGAAGGAAATGGCTTCTCTCCTCTGCCTCTGGGTTTTTAGAGGGTTTTGTTTTGAGTGGTGGTATGCTCTTGAACGACTCGTCACTCTTAAAACATTAAGAGACTAGTCGTTTGTTAGCCTTAAAGTAAAGATCGAAAGAAACAGAGGTACCAGCTACCAAGAAGAAGAAGAAGAAAGGCATTATTATTTCAAACTAGTTGGAGTTGGCTACATGGGTTATTTTGCATCAAAAATACATATTATCGAAAATAATTTAGCACAAAAGAAAGGGTATTGATGATGACAGGTTCAGAAAGGAAAAGGGGAATTCCATGTAATAAAACCCAGTTGACAATGGGAGGCAATTATTGCCTCCAAGGAAGAGATCGATATCACTTTGCCACATTCTTCTTCAAACTACGAGGACAAGAACAAAGATGGTCAGATCCAAAATGGTAGTATATGCAAGTTTGCAAAATAGAGCTGTGAACAGGGCTATACTTACATTTGATGACTTCTATTTTGTCAAGACAACGTAACCAATCTGCTAAACAAACCAGCACTTGTAGCCTCTCACTTGAAAAACAACGTATTATTTTATATATGTTATTTTAATTTAAGATTTATGTTTCAAAAAAAATCAAAGAGGCGACGATCATCTAACTTTCTTGAACTTAGCTGTACACTGTGTTTAAATACATGTAAGTCTAGCAAATTATTTAAATTTTTAAAACTATCATGTCAAAGAGGGGATGATCATCTAACTTTCTTGAACTTAGCTATACACCGTGTTTAAATACATGTAAGTCTACCAAATTATTTAAATTTTTAAAACTATCATGCGCCATGATTAGAAACTACTTTGATTTCGATTTTTTAGGATATCATCACTCTTGTAAGGTTATTTTGATTCGTCCAGACTCGCATCCAGTTCAGATCTTCTGGGCCTCGTTTTATATGTATAACTCTTGTAAGTAACGTTCTTATTCTAATACGTCAGAATCACAGCCACCAGAAGAAACTAGATCATCTCAGCGTGTAGTCCTGTTGCCCCTATCCTTCGAATACTTGATATCAACATGGCAACTGAAAAGCTCATACAAGACATCACGAGCAGAGGTAACATGACTGATAACTTCAGATTCCGGATATATTGCATTGGATAAGAAAACTCCAGAACATCCACTGACCCCAATACTTGTCGAGTTTTTCTTTCATTTTGACAGCTATTGCTTTCACAAAAGCATTATTATCCCTTCACTTTTTATTCTGAAAGTCCAATATCCCGACAACCTTGGTAAGGCATGTGTTTGCAGTTGGATTCTTTGTCCCGAAAATGCACTCATGACACCATGAAGAGCTTTTACAACCCTCCTCTACTCTTTCCCATTTCTCTGAACTAGGCAGCCAGCAATGGTTTTGATTTCCATATCTTGTGATTGTTTCTTTAAAGTTCCATGCAGAGGTTAACATGGAATATGTTGTGCTCTGTGACTGTATACATCCAGAAACAATTTTCTTGAAGGCAACTGCAATTGCTTGACAATGTCGCTGAACTTACGAAGAATTGTTCTTTTGATGAACATAGATGTCTTAACACCTTCACGTATATCGTCAACTATGTTCCATAAGGTCTATAACGTACATGTGCACAACAATGCTGATAAAAAACCTTGCCACCAGGAAAAATCTTTCCATTAGCGTAACTTCTGTCCTAATTCAGACACTCCAAGTATGTCGTATGAATCATTTCAAATCAACACTTCTTCATTTAAAGATCCAGCAACCGATTGTAAGGGTTTTCCTGCTCTCTTTATAAAATACATAAGTGCTCGTTGCCTTTGCTTCTTCAATGGCTTCGGATGGTTTTCATCAGAGATTGATTTTTTGGAGGAAAAAAGAGAGGACACGTACAAGGAAAGGAAGATGATCGATTGATGAGGCTTTTTAAGTTTAAGAGGCTTTAAAAACATGTGTCCTCTATAAATTAACAGAACATTAATACAAAGCCTAGCAAAGCTATTCGAAAAATAAAAAATAAAAAGCATTCAATGGGTGACGGACTCAAAACCAGACACTGACTAGAGAAATGACTTGATGAAAAAGGATTAAACATAAAGGAAGAACTAAAAAACAAATATGATAAACCAAACAACAATGCAACAATCAATCCCACACTGTCTGATTCTAAGTAACCAGATAGAGATAGATGGTACTTCCTGTTCGCTGGCCAATCCAAATCTTTTTCGTTTTAAAAAAGCATTGTTAAAACGATACAAGTGTTCTTAAAGAAGAAAGAAACAAAAACTAAGATCTAATTCATTGACTTGACTTCATATAATTTCAATAATACAAATATACAAATCTAATCCACAATGTTAAAACAATAATTTGCATTCGGAAATGAGATTTTAACAAATATACAGAATCTAATTCAGTTCCTTTTCTCTTTTGTTTTACAGCTTTAACTGAACCAATAGACATGGAAGTCCAATTTTCATGAACCATTCCTATACCCACTCTGGGCTGGGGTATAGGCATCGAAGTTAGCAGTAATCTTATTTGCAGGGAAGCCATAAATAGCTTCCTAGAGAGCGTCTGTATGGAAGTTTGACCCAAAATAGAATTGTTTCCTGCCCGCAGGTAGGTAAAGCATCACATGATATTTGGGTTGCTTGTGTTCTCAGAAGAGAATAGTAGTTTTTATAAATTTATTAAGAATGATAATAATATTTATACTCTTATAAATTTAGGTGTCAGGTGTCTTAATATGGTTTTTTTTTTTTATAATAATAGTAGTTTTTTTAAATTTATTAATGATGATAATAATATTTATATTCTTATTTTTTATCATAATAATAATAATATTTTTAGTTGGAATAACATGAATTATTATAAAAATCATATTATTTATAACACCATATATAATAATATTTTAGAGATTAATACTATTAATTATACTAAAAAATAATATTAGTAGAACAAATAATAATAGTTTTGAGATCAACACTATTAATTAGACTAAAATAATAATAATATTTTTCATACCAATACTATCAATTATACCAAAAAATTATATTAAGAAAAATATAATAATTTTTTTAATATTCAGCATAAAAAAAATCAACAAAATAAACAATAATATTTTTACTATTAATACTCTAAAAATTAGTTATATTAAAAAAAGAATAATAAGAAAACTAAGAAAATTACTTTTAATACCAATATTTGTAATTACACCAAAAATATAGACAGCCTAAGCACTACGCGACATTTGAGCTGCACGCAAGAGTAAGCAGACCAAATATCAGGTAGCGTTATATTGCAAGCTTGAGGTAATGCTGTCCAAATACCACGTAGCGCTTAGTTTGCACCAAAAAAAATAGATCAAGCACTAGATGGCACTGTATTTACTTAGCCCAAAATAGATAGCCCAAATATCACGTGTATGCAGTTCCAAGAGATGCACTTCTAGTCTAGCACTTGGAGCCGACAGGCTACAATCTCTTCAAATGCTTCCTCCAACAGTGCAAGTACTTATAGTATATAATACCCGCGTTACAATACAGCATAATATAATATAAAGTGAATACTCTGACAATTTATAGTAAAATCACTCATAATATATTTATAGTGAAGCACAATACAGTATATAGGAAAAATTCTTAACGTTTATAATAAAATCATTCACAATCCAGCATAGTACACTCAATAAATTCACTTAAACTAAACAATAACCTACACTACAATAAAACGCAGATTTCTTTTAAGTTATAGTTAATAAAATTAGCATTAGCATTGTTTACTAACAATTTAAAAATAACAGGAGAGTCGATATATAGATAAAAATAATTATTACTATAGTTTTGAAATCTAATTCAACAGTTGACTCAAGATAAGACTGGGGTCACTGGTCGAGAAAGTCAACCTGAGTTAAATGAATTATTTTTTTAAAAAAATCAAAACAACCTTATTTTGCCCAAGAATTTAGAAAAAATCAAAGTGTTTTTGATCTTTTTTTTTCCTTTTATCTTGGGTCAATCTATGTTTTATCTAGGGACAACCTAAGTTTTTTATCAGGCTAGGTCATAGCAATCCTTTTTTTATTATTATTTTTTTAAATTTAGACTAATTTAGACCCTAGAAGAACCTGTCGGCAAGTCCGAGTTTTATAACTAGGATCATTATAATATTATTAATTTCAACACTAGATATAAATTAAAGTGAAAAAAATCTAATTATTTTTTTTAAAAATATGTAAATTTAACAATAATAAATATTAAAAATAATTTTTTTATATAATTTATTATATATTATTTATCATAATTAAACATGATACATAGATAATTACTCTTATCCCATACACCACTACCAAATACAATTCTATTTCCATTACAATTTTTCGTTGTCTTATCTTTTATTGCTTTCATATCTTTTGTCGTGATGCAGTAACCAAATGCTAATATATCTATAATAATAATAATAATAATAATAAGTGATGCAGTAACCAAATGCTATCATGGAATATATTTATAATAATAATAAGAAATCCAAGCAAATATTGCATAGAAATTTAGATATTTAACTTTTATTTTTAAGTATAAATTTGATATTATGATAATTTTTATGATTGTAATTTAAAAAAAAAAAATATTGAAAAACGGTTTGTGCGTGTGTGAACTCCACAAATGCTTTCCACTAGCAAAGACAAGCGGAGCTTAGACATCCTGGCATGTACATATAATTTCTTCAGGTAAATCACAATGTGAGAAACTTATTACTGCTATAAATCCGACAAATTTATTCTATCTTTAGAAACAACTAGTCAAACCTAACCATTCAAAAGTAAAAAAGTGAATTTCCATGGCTGATGTATGGATCAATGCAAAAGACATGATTGTGCTCGAAATCATTTCTTCACGTGAAGACCTTGTACCAATTGACACCATGCAAAGGACAATGACTTCAAATACTTCATTCACTATTATATCTTGTCATACTAGGTTGTCAGACGATGAATAACAAGGCTTGTAATATTCAAATAATATTTACAAATTCCTGAAAAGGACAAATATCATATAGTCGAATA